TCTTCAAACTCAATGTCAAATGAAAAACAGCATGCCTTTACAACTTCATTCAAGTCCCTAGTAAAACAGTGAACAGGATAGGGTCAAGGGAAAATCCTTGCGACATTCCAAGAGACCTGACGGATGGCTGACAAAAATTATATCTAATTTTTTGGGTGTGATTATTCTGCAGAATCAAACACCTAAGAAAAGAGCATACAGTCAATGGAATACTAAGTAGGAATGACCAAATGCTTTACCAAAAATGACATAATCTCAGTCTATGATATATTCACCTTCTTTCAAAGAGTAAGATAACTTTGCCATGATTATTTCTTGGTTACCCAACTGTTGCTCCCCTGACTACTTCAACCTTATTTAAAAGTTTGTAAATCGTCTGCTTAAAGGCCTGAGTGTAATTTCTTTTTAAAATCTCCAGAATGTTTTTACTTTCTACAGTCTTCTAAATTCTTTCTCCTCTCTACAATTTCTCAAAGATAATGTCTCTGATAGCACATGTGCAAATGTCTTCAGTACCCTAATACAAAGCTTGTATGAACCTAGAGACTTAAAACTCATTTAAAATGAGAGGACTGCTCTTACAATAATACTTCACCAAACTAACACAGGCAAATGTTTATCTTTTGCTTCTTCTTTATTTTTATTTGTTTATTTTTGGTTTTCAGTGCATCCTTCTTAGTAGAGAAGATGGAAATATGTTATGGTAACAGCATTCTCCTCAAGCACTGGAGATTTGAGTCTACTTGTAAAATGAGAACATGGATGAGGAAAGCAGAGTGGGAAGGACATTCCAGGACCGAACCTTCTCAGGGCAAAGAAAGTGAGGAATGATGTTGGTGAGTGGAAGTGATATACTGAGATCAGCAAGTGGCATGTGCAGGGAACCAAGGAAATATAAAGATGATCTTTTTTTTTCTACTTTACATTTCTTATGCCTGATTTTTAAAATCTCTCCTCTTTACCTATAGAGTTTCAAGAAGCTCATCTCCCATCTTATCAGATTTTCTTATCCTTTACCCAACTTACCCTTTCTTGTCCCAGTTACCCTCCCCATCCTTCAACCAGGTCCACCTGTATGCTTAACCATCAGTTCTCCACCCACTCTCCAAGAATAGCTCTAACCTACAGCAGGATACTAGGTAGGAAGTCCCTGTGGCAGGCAGAATAATGGCCCCTTTAAAGATGTCCACATCCTAATCCCCAGAACCTATAAATATGCTAGGTTACATGGTAAAGCAGAATTAAGGTTGCAGGTGAAACTAAGGGTGCTAATCCACCAACCTTAAAATAGAGAGATTATCCTGGATTATCTGGGTGGGCCCAATGTAACCACAGGGATCCTTAAGAGTGGAAGAGGGTGACAGAAGAGTGAACCAGAGAGATAGCAGCATGAGAGGGATGTGGCTTGACCTTGCTGGCTTTGAAGATGAAGGAAAGGGCTACAAGTCAAGGAATGTGGGCTCTCTCTAGAAGCTGGAAAAGGTAAGGAAAGATTCTCACCTGGAGCCTCCAGAAGGAATGTAGCCTTGCAGACACCTTGATTTTAGACCAGCGAGATCCATTCAGGCTTCTGATCTCCAGAACTTTAAGATAATAAATTTGTGTTGTTTTAAACACTAAACTTGTGATAATTTGTTACAGCAACGATAGGAAACTAATACAATCCCTGATTTTAAAAATGTTGGCTAAAACTAAGCTCCTCTCTTGCTGCTAGGGTCCTGTGTTTATTGTCCAGGTTCTTGGTCTGAATTTGGATTCTATCAATAGACAGTCTTTTAACTTATTCCTGAACCCTCATGCCAAGTTCTAATTTGTCTGATACCTCAAGACTTACCTTTATCTCCTGTTTCTTAACCTACTCCTTGATTCTAACTCATGTGCCCATTTGTTACTTCCATAGTCTCAGCTCCCACTTGTACTAGGCTCTCCCCAGGCTTGGTCTGCTGCCAGCTTCACCTCTAGTTGTCCTCCTTGTCTTGTTAGAGGATTCTCACTTTCTTTACTTTCTCTGAATCCATAACCATTGTCCTAATGCTTACAAATTACTCAGTATCAAATAAAATACACTGGGTAAGTACTGTAGTAGTAGGTTTTGTAAGTAAAAAAAACTAAAGTTTTTTTAATGTTATAAACACAAACTGTCTAGCTGCTTTAAATGAATTTAAACCATTTCACCTAGATGAACTCAACTTAATATTAGCTGAGTCACTGTACATAATTTTGATCATTCTTAGATCAGAAAAGCTACTATAAAGCCAGATATATTTAAATTCAGCCTTAATATTAAAAGCAGGACACAGAGTAGGGAGGTAAATCCTGAAAACTGAAAAGCAGTTAGTTTGACAATGAGTTCTTTTTCAAAAGAATCTATGAGCACTAATGGCAACACAGGTTCACCAGTAGTCCACCCAAAACTAACCTAATTCCCTTTTCTGAAAGGACAACTAAATTCATTGATAAGAGTAATGTCAAAGATACAGCACAAACCGAGTTCTTACTATCCATGTGAACAGATTTTAGTCTCAAAACAATCAATAAGTCAAAATTTTGAACTAACCAAACAAGATGATTTACAACAAGAATAAATTTTAGTCCTACTGATTCAAAGGCATTAATCATGTATAAGACCTTAGAAGGCATGTCCTTAAGAAAAACTGAGATATAAAAAGTGGAAGGGCATATTTAGCCTAAGAAAAGCAAGACTAAAGGAAACCCAAAAGGATTAACACAGAGAAGAGTGCCTAAACTTATTGTATGCTTAACTAGACAAGAGTTTATTAATTCATTCATTCCACAAATGCTTATGGAATACCAGTGATCTGACAAGCACTATTCTAGGTGTTTGGGATGTAACAGAGACTAAAACAAAGGTCTCTGTCCTCATGAAACTTTATATTCCAGTGGGGAGAGACAGACAAACAATAAACACAACAAATAAATGTGACAGGCTGCTTCTAAGTGGCTCCACGTGATCCCTGGTATTTACACTTATGTAATCCCTTAAGTAATTACTTATGCAATTCCTCTCCTTGTGTGGGGGCTAGAATACAGCAAAAGTGATGTGATGTCACTTTCAACATTAGGTTATAAGACTGTGATTTTTGTCTTGTCCACGTACTCTCTCCTGCTTGCTCACTCTGATGAAGCCAGCTACCATCTTGTGAGTGGCCCAATGGAGACGCATACATGGCAAGGAACTGAGCCTCTGTGGTCAACAGCCAGCACAGAGCTGAGGCCCTCAGTCCAACAGCACAAAAGGAATTAAGCCCTGCCAACACCCATGTGAGTGAGCTTAGAAGTGGATCCTTCCTAGTCAAGCTTTGAGATGACTGGACCCCTGGCCAACACCTTGGCTGCAGCCTGAGAGACCCTGAAGCAGAGGATCCAGCCAAGCCATACACAAACTTCTGACCCGCAGAAAGTGAGATAATAAATGTTGTTGTTTAGAGTCACTAAGTTCTCAGATAATTATTTTAGGCTGTAATATGTAACTAATACAATAAGTAAATTATACGGTATGCTAAAAGGGATTTTAAAAAAATTGAAAGCCGGTCAAAGGTAGCGGGGCTAGGGAGCGCAAGTTGCAGTTTCAAAAAGAGGTGTTATCGGGACTTGTACATGAACATTTATAGCAGCATTATTCATAATAGCAAGAAAGTTGAAATGACTAAATGTCCACTAACTGGAGAATAGATAAACAACATGTAGTATCTATCCATATGATAGAATATTATTTAGCCATACAAAGGAATGAAGTACTCACATACGTTACAACATGGATGAACCTCAAAAACATTACGCTAAGTGAAAGACGTCAGACAGAAAAGACCACATATTATATGATTCTATCTATAAGAATTATCTAAAAATGGCAAATCTATAGAGACAGAGAGTAGATTAGTGGTTACCTAGAGCTGGTAGTGGGAACAGGTATTAACTGTAAATGGGCAGTGAGGGATCTTACTGGGGTGATAGAACTGTTCTAAAGTGGGCAGTGGTGGTAGTTGTACAACTCAGTAAATTTACTAAAAATCACTGAATTGTATACTTAAAACAGGTGCATTTATGGTATGTGAATTATACTGCAAAAAGGTTGTTAAAAAGGGAGTTGGTGTTAACATATACACCTATGAGAGGATGACATATAAGGAAAAACTTGCAGGAGGAAAGGTGTTAGCCATACAGAAATCTGGGAGAAATATGGCAGACAACAGAAGTGTCTATGCAAAGACCCTAGCGCTGGAGCACACCTGGTGTGCCTACAGAACAAGGTTGCCAGAGTGGCTAGAACTAAATAAAAGAGAGGAAGGTAGGAGATGAAGTGACAGGGGTAATGATGGAGGATGGAGGTGATAGGAATCATATAGGGATTTTTATGCCACTGGAAGAACTTTGGTTTTTACCATGAGATAAAAAGAGAGGTATATGAAGGTCTGGGCAGAAAAGTGATACACTCTGACTTGCATTTTAAAAGGACCACACAATGTAAAGAAATTATAAAAGGCTCCATATAAGCTAACTGCCTCCAGAGTTACTGACTCTCTTATCTGACTGGGATACAGAAGAAATTCCACACTGAAAGGAAGGGAGAACTCATGTCTCCTGTGGGCCACCTGCATCAGAGCCTCCATGAGAGCTTGTTATGCATGCAGGTTCTCAGAGCCTCCATGAGAGCTTGTTATGCCTGCAGGTTCTCAGAGCCTCCATGAGAGCTTGTTATGCATGCAGGTTCTCAGGCTCTGCCTTGGACTTCTGAGTATCTGGAGCTGGGGATGTGAGACTTTGAATTTTAAAAACTTCCTAGGTGACCTTTGAGAAACACAATGAACCAGATAAACGTTAAGGTCCCTCCAAACTCAAAATTATGACAAAGTATATAGGCTACCTAAGCCATGCTTATCTAAGGAAATGGTTAGGATTTACTATAAATGGTCATCTGAATTAATTATTTTATTTATTATAGATGAAGTAATTTTTTCCCATTCTCAAGAAAACCTCACCCAGTTGTTTTTTTTCCCAGCATAAATTTCCATGTTCTCTCCATACTGTGGCTCTTCCAGTAATGTCTGGTATTCAAACATGAGACGGGAGCTCTCGCGGAGGCGGCTGCATTGAAATTGGTGATATTGTTGCACGAGTTCCTTCACCACAAGTAAGAGACATTCAGGATTGGAAGGATTCCAGGAGGCAAGATTCTGTAGAAGCCATAAATAAAAGACCAGTCAAAAATGAATTTTCATACAAATCTAATATCACATTCACACATCAATATAGAGGACAGATGTGATGAAAATCTAAGAGGAACGGACTACTTCTAGTTAGCTATAACTAGAGTTGGAGTTAGAAGAGTCTTTTGATCTCGGTGATTTCTCCTGCCTTCTAAAAATCCTCACAGAAAATCAAGGAGGAATCCCATCATGAGTAGGCAGAAACAGCAAGAGTAAAGCAGGGTAGTAATAAAACAAGAAACTTAAATATCTTAGAAGCCTATAAATTCAGCCTCGAAGTCTTAATTTGTTTCTTATTCTTTTATAAATTCAGCATTATATGCTAAAGTCATTCAACTCAGACCCATAGACCATCTGCAACTATAATACCAAATATAAATAATACTAGAGCCCCATAGAAATGTAAGCACATTGGTGATAGTACAGCATGAAAAGATAGGAATGCAGTAGAGACAAGGGAAAATACAATTAGGAAATGCAAGGTTCAGAAAAAAGAGGAAGAGAATGGCTGTGAAGCCTTATGACCTGCAAAGGATCTGGGAATGGGCAAGATTTCATATGTATATAGTAGTTGTTAAGCTTACATTCATTCATGTAACAAATATTTATGAAGTTTCTATTATGTGTCAGCCACTATTCCAAGCAGTGAAGAAAACAAGCCAAGTCCATGCTCTCAAAGAGCTTACACTTTTAATGGGCTAAGATAAACAATAAACAAGCAAATCTATTAGACAGTGATAAATGTTACTGAAAAAATATATAGCATGTATCCCAGAAGCCAAGTGAAGGAAGTGCTGCAAGGAGAACGAAGTGATCAATTGTGTTAAATGGTGTTGATAAGATGAATAAGAAGAGGCCAGAGAACTGATCATTGGATCTAGTAATGTGCAGGTCAATAATGTCCACAATGAGTGCTATATTTGGTGGACTGAAACCTTGATTGTCAAGGGTTCAAAAGAGAATAGGTAGAAAGAAATTACAGATGGCTACTACAGACAATTCAAACTGCTAGGCAAAGGGGACTACAGCGTGAAGGGAAGGTTTTGTTCAGATGTTTGTAACCTGAAGGAAGGTTCCATAGAGAAGGGGTAAAACCGGTGATGCAATAGAGAGAGAAGAAAATACCAGGAGAGAAAATAATGAGTAGGCAATAAGGATGGGATCTCCAAGAGGGCTGGCATTAGAAAGAGCACAGAGTCTATCCATGGGAATAGGAGGAAAGGCCAACTAAATGAGGGCAAATGCAGGCAGACTGTTCCACGTGGTGATGGGAGTTTGTGGCAGTTCTCTTCTGATTGCTTGTATTTTCTCCGTAAAATAGGAAGGTCATCCTGAGAGTGAGGAAGAAGAAGGGGTTAGTGGAAGTTTGAGAAGAAAGTGTGACAGAGTCATTTAAAAGAGTAAATTGACTAGGGAAATGCAGTAGGAATTCCAGATAGCACTAAAAGACTCACTAAGGTGAAAGGGGGGCCCTAGTGGTGCAGTGGTTAAGCATTTGGTTGCTAACCAAGAGACTGGCAGTTCAAATCCATCAGCTGCTCCTTGGAAACCCTACAGGGCCATTCTACTCTGTCCTATATTGTCGTTATGAGTCGGAGTCAACTCAACGGCAACAGGTTTGGTTTTCTGGGGGAGGGGAGGGTTAGATGTATGATTTTTAAGTGAAATCAATTAGCATAAATTCCACTGCCTAGGTACAGATATGGGAACTTGGATTTTACAAAGGTTGGGGTTTTGCCAGGTAAGTACAATAGAGGAAAAGATGGGCAAGGCATCTTAGAGGGTTTGCAAAAGAATGATTATGATCATGGGTCATGGAATCTAAGCCAGGTAAAAAGTGAAACAAGTTCCTAAGAGAAGTGAGGGGTAGTGAAAAGGGGGTAGGACAACGGACAGTAGGTCCCAGTGGGCTGGAAGAACTGTTGCAGTGAGATACTAAAAAAAATGAATCAGAAAGACAGGAGGGTGCGGTCAGAGAATGGGATGCTTGCAACTGAGATGATGTAGGTAATTTGTAACTGGCACTGACAAGGTGTGGTGTACCACAAAGGGTGTATGTGGCTGAGGTAGAGTAAAGGACAAGGTCAATGGGGGACAGAAAGTTAGGGACTGAGAGGCCTAGGTGTTGGTAAGATCATTAATATGGATATTGGAATCACTCAAAATCATGACAAGAGTAATACTGAGAGAGTGACAATGAGCCATATGCTAAAATCTTCAAAGAATGAGGGGAATGACTGAGGAGTCTCTAGGTAATAACCATAAAGAGAGAGTGATGGGCCCTATAGACTGCTGGCATGAGTTGAAAAGCTGCGGGTAGAAGGCTAGGGAAACAAGAATAATTTCCTTGGTAGCAGCACTGAAGAGCAAGAAGAACACCTACCCCACCTCCAAGCATAGGGGCAAGAGGCATACGGGAGAGAAACCAGCTACCATTTATTTGAGAAGGCTGGAGGGAAGGCAGAATCTCAGGGCAGAGGGGCAGGCTTCGGAGCAGTGGTTCTTAACCTTCACAATGGAATCATCTGGAGAGCTTTAGAAATAACGATGCCTGGGTCCTACCACCAACCCCAGGTTCTGTTTTAATTGGGTTGATCTGAGGTGTGTCCTAGGTACTGGATTTTTTTGTTTGTTTGTTTGTCTGTTTTTTTAAAAAAGCTCCCCAAGTGATTCTGATATGCAACAAAGGTTAGGAAACACGACTTGGAGGAGAAAAGGGTTAGAGAAGAGGTTGAGGACATCAAAGACCTTACTGACAACAGACATGTCAATACCCAAAAGTACCCAATCTCTAGAAATCTACAAATTTAGTATCTATAAAGGAAAACACCAACACATTACAAATGTTCATTGGTTAGGTAATACTTATATAGCACTTGTGTTCTGTTCTAAGCACTTTTCATATATTCAAGTTAATACTCATCACAACCCTATAACATAAATTATACCATTTTACAGATGAGAAAACTGAGGCAAAAAGTTCAGTAATGTGCCCAAGGTCACAGAGCTATTAACCAATAGAGCTGGGTTTCAAACGTAAGTAATTTGGCTCCAAGTCCCTGCTCTTAAGCACTACACCAAAAGTTCTAAAACATTTTTGTCTCAGGAACCTTTTACACTCTTAAAAATTACTGAGGATACCAAAGAGCTTCTGTATATATGGATTATATGAACTGACATTTACTGATTACAAATAAAAGCTGAGAAATTTTTTAAAATATGTATTTATTAATTCATTTTAAAACAACAATAAACCTATTACATGTCAACATAAATAACATTTTTAATGAAATAACTATATTCCCCATCCCCCCAAAAATAGTGAGATATGTGGTTTTGTTTTACATTCTTGCAAATCTCTTTAATATCTGGCTTAATAAAAGACATCTGGATTTTCATATCTGCTTCTTCATTCAATCTATTATAATATGTTGTTTTGGTTGAAGTAGATGAAGAAAATCCAGCCTCACAAAAATATGTCATTTGAAAAGGGAGAAGTACTTTAACAGTCTTTTCAAATTATTGCGGATATTCTTCCTTGGTACTACACTAAAACTCAACAAGTGGTAGTTTCTTAAAAGTTAGTTGTAATGTAGACTTGAAACCATATCAGTAAACATTTCATACTCTCATATCAAACTCCATTAACTTTTCCTGCATTTTCAATGGATCTTTTACTCATGTACGATTTTGTACCATCATGTATTGGTCGTTTAGAAAATACTGATTCACTGAGTTATGCAGAGCCTCCAAATGCTGACACATTTCATTTATACCATATCAAAAAATCACATTTGAAAGGATAGTGGTAATGGCTGCACAACATGAACGTAATCAATAGCAATGAATTATTCATGCAAAAATTGTTGAATTGGCAAATGTTTTATTATATATATATATGCACATATATATACTTACCACAATAAAAAAATTCTATATAAAACATCACATTCATTAATATCATCACCAACTTCATCAGAAAAGTCTTTAAATAGTGAGAAACTGTCAAGCTCAAAATGGTAAATACAAGTATTCCAAAATTCTAATTTTTCACTTGAAAACTAGAGTTTTATCATTGGCAACAAATACTTTCAGTTGCTTTCCTTTACGTGACAAGCTCTCTTTGTATGTTTTTAAAAAATGTTTGCCAAACACCCAGATCTAAATTACCAGAGATTACTATCAGTCATTCATTCAAGTAAGAATACTGTAGTGGTTTCAGGGGGAAAAAAAGCAGCTAGTTCATCCTGCAACTCAATCACACAAATGCATGGAGACAACCATGGTACTTTGATTGCAGCAGAAGTCCTGCATGTGTGTGTACCTTCCACTTTGCCACAGAGAATGTGGAAAATATGTGTATTTGAGGGTTGAGATATATATAATAAACTTAATTTTACTATTTCATCAAGGACATTCATCAGTGAACTGAGAATGCACAGCAGTGAAGAATACAATGACTACTAATACAGTTTGGTGCCACTATTTTGACTAGTGCTAAGGTATCAGTTTTACCCATCACTGCTTCTGTAAATATGATTAGCATACTATGAAAATATTTTTGGCCTTGCAGACCCCTTAATGGGTTCCAGGAACCCCTGGGTGTCTACAGACCACACTTTGAGAACCATTGCACTACATTATAGTACCTTAAGAACAAGTACTTCTATCAAAGGAAAACAAATAAAAAGTACAGAAATGCATTCCTTAAAATGATAGTAATTACTTTGCTCTACCCACTAGGCTGATTTATAGGGACTGAATTACAATCAGGAAATTGTTAAATGCTCTTCCATATACAGGAAAAATAGGTTTTAACTGATGTTCAAATACAAAGGACTTGATGACCAGAAGTAAAGGTAAGAATTTCAGCATCATACAGTGATTAAAAGAGGCTCCTTGCTATGAAAATGATTTGATAAAAAGAGTACAAGGTCTTCTCTGGCAAAACTCTTGGCTTCAATAGC